CTCCATACATCGTCCAATAACATTTATACCAAATTACATTTTAATTAAACAAATTTCAACAATTTTCAATAAAATGACGTTTTAATCGGCCATATTGAATCGGCCATTTTTTAATAAAATCACGATTTTTTAGAATATAACCACACAATTCATCTTTAATGTGATTTTTAAAATAAAAATTTTTTTTTTACCCACCACCACCACCACCCACCACCCATCACCACCACCCACTACCACAACCCACCACAACTACCCACCACCACCATTTTTTATATCATGTGATTTTAAAGTAAAAAATTTTTTTGGAAAATTTTTTATATTATGATTTTTTATATCATGATTTTTAAAATAAAAATTTTTCTTGGACCCACCACCACCCATCACCACCACCCACTACCACCACCAAAAGATATCCATAATAATCTTAAAAAAATATGTATAGGATTATACATATTTTTTTAAGATTATTATGGATATTTTTTTTGTTTTAAAATTTTCGAATTTTTAGAATAAATCTTTTCATCACATTAATAAATATTTTACAATTGCATGCATTAATAAAAATCTCAAATATTTATGTGCATATAATGTTCTAGAAAGAGTTAATATAACAAAATCTCAATTTTTTAAAATATGCTATTGATACTGATTTCACTCTTGTCACTGTTCACAACAAATTTGATATTAATAGTTTTTAATAACTAACAATATATGATTTTGTATGTACAAACAGGTATACGTATGCGAAATGGAGATGGATCTGCAGATATGCTTGAAGAGAAATATTCATAATCGTACCGAGGATGAAATTAATCGGATTATAGATTACTTCGAACCAACGCCCAGCTACCATCAGAAGCTAGATGTAAACTCGATGCTACAAGAACAAGCAATAGAAGAGGTAATTTTATTTATTTGTCTTAAAAAGAGAGCAAATACTTGTCTTCTCCTCAGTCATGTATGTCAGAATCTGATATGTGTGACCATTTTATTGTTGTGACCTGTGTATATTTTGTGACAAAAAGATGAAAAAGATAATTGTCGTCTAAATATTTTTCATTTACGATTTATAATTTTTTGATATAATAAATTAATACAAATTTACGATACTGCAAGGAGTGCTATTCTTTCGTCATAGGGTGTACATCTTACAAATTATAAATTACTTTTGTGTAATCACAAACATTTTTATTACAGGTGGATATGGAGGATAGTCAAGAGACGCAGGAGAAATCTGCCATGCAAACTGAAGATAGTCAAGATAGCCAGGAAGATATTCAGGATGCAATTGTAATTAAATGAGCCTAAGAAATACTTATCTTTTATACGTCATTATTCTGTGATTTTTTATTTTTGTTTTTAGGGTGTTAGTAAATGGGAGAGAATGGAAGCTGAAGATAAACTAGGTTAGCTAATTTACATTGATTCCTACTGTTCAATTATACTCATATTCTGTGCATATTTTCTATATTTATTATTTAGCATGAAATCTGTAAAAATGCGTATCCTAATTTTTTTAAACAAATCTATTAAGGCTAATAGGAGTCTGCAAGCACAAAAGTCCATGTACAAGTTGAGTTTATATTTGTTGAGTTTATATTTGACTGAAGAGGATCTAACAATTCTGAAAGATCTGAAATTAGTGTTAATCGAAAAGTATTAAAAATATAAAATAAATTCAATTGGAAAGCATTAGAATATAATTGTATTTTTGCAGAGACATTTGTGTTTGTACACTTTTAATTAATCATTATAATCTTCTATATATGCATAAACAACTAATTATTATTTACTTTTTTTTTGTAATGCAATGTAGATCGATTGGACGGTTTGGCAAAGAGGAAAAACGAGGCAAAACCACAAACTATGGAAGATTTCCTACAAGTTCCCGATTACTACAATATGGAAGATACGTCTGGTAAAAAACGAGTACGTATCTATACAATATTAAATTATAATATCCCTTCAATCACAGCGTTAGCCAATTTAAAGAGAATTTTATCTTGCGTAAATATCGAGGAAATGTACTACATTTTTCTCAATTTTTAATATTAAGTATACATATTTGCATCAAGGTACAAATTTTATTATAATTTATTAATTTTATTAATATCTGTTTGAAATTAATTGGAGAACGATTTTATTATTAATTTATCAAATTTATACAAATTATTTTTCACAGTCCAATATGACTGCAGTGAGAAACATGAGCTTTAAATGTCATTTTTTTGATAAATACAGAACTTTCAAAAGGAAGATTAAGAAATGTTTGCTTTTTTGCAGGTACGTTGGGCCGATTTAGAAGAGCGTAAAGAGCAAGAAAAAATGCGTGCAGTCGGATTCGTTGTTGGGCATACTAACTGGGATCGAATGATGGATCCTACGAAGGGTGGAAGCGCCTTAACACGCACAAAGTACATATGATTTAAATTTACTTCTAGAGCATATAATCAACAATAAGAATGCTTCTTTCACGTTCTTCTTTGTTTTTTATATTTTTGCTTTTTTTTAATTTTGATTTCGATCTAATATATATTAATAAAATCTAAATTTATTTTTATGTTGCTGTGCTCTGTGCTATTGTTGTCCATAACACTGTTAATTATATTTATACAAAGTAGAGATAACTATGTGCGTAGTATGTAGTACTCATAGTTATGCTAATGTACATAATTCTCATAATTATGATAATTCTACAATATACACAGTACACAATGTATAAATATAGCTTTTACGATTGATAATATTTGTTTACAATATACTGCATTTAACAAAAAGTAATGAAAAAGGAAATTAAAGCGGTTAGTTACACTGATCTAGTAATAAATTAAATTATGTACTTTATACTTGCGTTGTATTCTTGTTATATTATACGAAATATGTAATCATTATTTATATGATTATTATTACAGGTTTTTTTCGCTGTCATAGAACGATCGATAATTTAATGTGAGTCATTAAAATGAGAAGTGCTGACGTTCAACTGATTGGTATACCTTGTTGTTTTATTGTTCAAAGCACTGCAGTATGTAAAAATATATTAATATTTAATTATTTTAAACTATTCATATTATTTAAGATTTACAGAATTATAAGATAGTTACTAAAACATTAAGATTATGAACCTTGTACATAAAATGTGTATCGTAAAATAAGATCTGTACACTAGGAAAAAGTGTATGCAGTAGAATTATATATGAAGATTGATATAATAAAAACACATTTACTTCACTTATAATAACTCTTTGCTAATTCTACTTTCTTAATATTTTGTCTATTTCTCGTCCATTTTTAGAGTCCAGTCTTGCCAATAATGTAAAATAAAGGAAATAAGAAATTTATAAGACTTATAAATTTGCATCATTTTTTTCGCAATTAGGAAAGTATAATTAAGTAAGCTATCGTAGCAATCTGCCGAAATCGTCTGGTTATTTTATTAATTTAAAGATTATCGATTATCAATTATAATGGAAATCTGAAAAGATTTTTAATTTTTGCGTAATAATCTATTTAATCAAAAAGTTATTCTTGCCTTCTCAATTTACGGAAAAATGTGCAGGAAATTAAAAAAATATATATATTATATTAATCCACAATATCGATCTGTAAAATCAGTTTTGCTTTGTGATTATATGATTTTTTTCTCAATGTTTGCTATTACTGTACATTTTAAAAACGGTTCGCTTCCAAAAAGTGAAAGAAATCACACTACACATTTATAAATAATTTGATTCAATATAATACATATATTTTATTATATACAAAGGAATTTGTTACATAAAATTCTCATAGTCATACATGTAGGGCGCGTGATAGACAACTGGTTATTTTTCGATTAACCCTTAACCCGACTGCCCTAGAATTTTTCATTAAAATTTTACGCCAAATCGATTGTTTCTTTAAGGGCTCAGACACGGTAAAGAAATGAGGATATTAAATATTAGGAATTAGGCAAAAGTCAGAAACAGACACAATGAGACTTTTCATCCTACTTTTGCTTAATTCCTTATGTTCAATTCCTTGTTCTTTATACCTCTTATTGTCTGAGCTCTAATGTTGCGCATGTGTGCCTATCAATAATAACTTAACAATTGACAGTAACAAAGTAGTGCACTTGGCAGTAACGCCTTTCAAAGATTTTAACATTAGATATGTAGAACAATAATAAATGTTGTATAGAAAAATATATTTCTTATATATATAATAAAATTGAATTTTATAAATTGAAAAATAATTTGCATATTTTACTATATAAATAATATTTCTGCATGGAACACATACTATTTCTATATAACAAGCGAATATATTTTTTATATGTCAATATAAAAAACATTTTGATATATACAAAATAAATATATTTTATACAACATAAATTATTTTCTAGAGTATATTTTCGATACACTACCTTATTTATAAATATCTTGTTTTACAAATCGAATTTATAATGATGTATATAATATTTTTGTATACTTAGAACGACACCTTTGTAATAATTTTATAATTAGAATATAAGATTGGCAAGATTATATCCTAATTACGAAATTATTATAAATATGGATTCTACGTAAGCATTGAGCAATTAAAAAATAATAATCACTATTCAAACGTGTATACTCTTATATTCTCTTCATGAAAAATATAATAGCTAAGAACCCAATCGTAAATATTCGAGTTAAGGGTTAATACTTTCAATGCGAATTTTCATCAGAAAATTTAATGAACAAACACCAATATTAAAAATTAACTATTGTAATATAAATGTCCAATTTTGCGAATGTAAATAGTTTGTGAAGCACAATCTTTCAATTAATTCGCATTGAAAATTAATTGCAAATTAATAGATTAGATTACGAATTTATAATTCTGTACTTGGAGATCATCGGGATTGTTGAATACTTAAATAATTATATTTTCTTAGACCTTCAGATTATATTCAACAATCCTACACATATACATTTTTATTTTATTTACACTAACATAAAGTCAATCTAGCGTTGAGCTGAATTCATTTCAAAACGTCGCACTTTTCCTGCAATAATTAGAATATTATATTGAATGTTAAAGAACTAATAAACATTCCCGGTTAACATACAAACATTTTTCGGTTCTCACATAAATAAATGGTTATCTCTCGTAGTTTCGGCAACTTTTTCACTTCATTCCGCATAATTCTTAACACAAATTTGACATACTTATGGTCCATCCTGTATACAATCTACATATACATATACGCGCAGCTTACGGCATGTGTACATGTGTGTATGTGTGTTGTATTTTGTGTGTGCGCGTGTAACGTTTTGTTTATGAACAAAATCTGGATTCTTCCGCTTCTAACAACTTTATTAAAGCTACAGATAACAACAGTAAGAGATAAATAATCATTACAATAGATGTGCGTGTACACGAACATCAATAACGAAATTAACGACAAGCGCAGTTGAAACGATCTGCGAGACGGTACACACATGCACATATATATATGTATACTTATATACGTATATACACAGGCGCATATACACACAGTACATGTGTTTTTTACATATATATAACATATACACATATAAATAAAACACACATACACTGTATTATATATACACACATATAACAATAATTCCTAGTTTCAATGAATATTAAGTATTCGCTTAAACGAATCAGCGTGCTCTTTATATATATACATACGAAAAATCGCGAATTTCGCATCGCGACTATATGGCCTTCAACGTAGCTTATTGTCGAAGCTCGGTTCGCAATAAATGGCTAAATTTTACGGATTAATATATATTGTTTCGTTTTGTTTCTCAACGACGGGCAAACTCTACAACTTCTAAGATTGCAGATCCGTAAAAAAATAAAAGAAAAGTTGTTTAACAAATATTGTGTGCAAAGTATGGGCACTATGAATAACTTTTTAGAGCAGAATATTAATAGCTCGCAATCAAAATAAGTAATATCACTTTATTTTAGAACAAAAGAAATTAAACAGTCTGGTGTTGATGCTGTAAACGAAAATAAATTAATTCTATCTAAAGGAATAAAGAAATAAATGGGATTATTTCGAAAGAGTATTTTTTTCTACTCAAAACACACACACTGCATGCTCTTTGTCTGAATACATTTTTTGTCTAATCTTTCAAGCAACAGAATTGATGGCATTGTTTCAATTATATTGACGTGATCAGAAAAATGAATAAGAATAAATTTTGAAATACAGCGAATTTTAATGTTGCAGATCAAAATTTATCTGATGTTGAATTTTATTTAAGAGTCACCCGCCATCGAGTCGTCTAGATATACATACAAAATTAAGAATGATCATTGCATGCTAAGTGAAAGAGACGACAAAAAAGAATAATCTCAAGCGGCAGAGAAAACGCCAAAAGGTCTAGTCTTTCTTTTCTCGTCTCGATATATTTTTATAAGCAATATTACTATTATGTAGGCAATCATGGATATATATGTTTTGATATACCAAGGTAATATACCAAGGAATGTCTTCAAAAAGACAGTATTTTTTATTAATAGAAACATGTCGTTTTATTTGTCGTGTGTGGATTAACAAATATCCAAAGCTGTTGAAATATTGCCTACAATATTTTGCAACTACACCACCGACAATGATCATTACGACAAGCTACCTGTTTTGAGAAACGTAGCTTTAATTGTTTCTTAATATAAGTATACTTATAGACTCACAAGACGTTTTATGAATTTATAAGTCATTACTATCGATTAATCACTACCAACAATACTTGACAATTATATCATTGACGCACAATTGCTCTGAAAAAGTCATCACTATAATTATTTTTTAAGTCATACATGAATCGATGATTACTTCATCAATTATTGCCACCGATAGTCGGTAGATGTACAGCTGGCAATAATTGTCGTAAGTAGTTGCTATTTTGTAGAGTGTATCTTGACGCACTGTACTTTGTGAAATTTGTTCGATCTAAAAAGACAAAAATACTTTATTTGACTGCGTTCAGATTATCCGTATACAAGAGAAGGATATTTGCTTTATATATTCATTTTATTGTTAATACTTAAAAATTTTTCAACTGATTGATTTATAAATTACCTATTATTATTTTGTCTTACTTAACTATTATCTGTCTTGATCAACTTATTACGTTATATAATACTTTCTTAATCTTTTTTTTTTTGCAGTCGCACACTAGAATCAATATTACAAATCTAGATCTAATAAGATTTAAGTTTGATATGTAATAAAATGCAAAATATTTCTGTATACAATCATATGAAATATTTTTGTCCTCTTATGTAATGTCGGGGCAAATCTCGCATGTTCCTTGCATATGAATTTACTAAAGAGAGAATGATACGCGGAGACATTCATGACATATAACACAGTGTTTAGTACGTATATGTAGAAAGAGAGTCACTAAATGGCAGTAGGGAATAAAACAAACTAATATACACCGCTGTTTCTTCCCTCTTCAGGCACCAGAGAAGCCATACACCTCCAACACTCTAATCTCGAAGTCACCACTAGCGCAGAGGGGTGGATTGTTAAAAGTCGAACGCCGATCCGTCTTGCCGAATCTTATATTCTCGTCCATCCAGATCGCCTGACCGTCCCTGAAATGAAGCGACAGAAGTGATAAATTGCTGCAACATGTTTCGTATTTATATCAAAAACTTACCCGCCACCGATCGTTATCATCTTCGAATCAGCAGCCATAAATAGCTCGGCTGAATGATGTACTCTGGAATCATTGTGCGATGAATCCATCCCTACCCAAGGATACTTGGCTCGTTCAGGATATAAACTGAACAGGAATGTCTCACCGGTACCAAAGTATGCTTGTCTTTGACCTTTATCATCTTTCAAATTACGTTCGCACCATCTAGTAGAACAGTAAGCTCCAAATACCTGGAAACCGTAAAAATTACAAAATAAAGTCGCAAAATAAAACATTTTGGAGAGCTTAAATAAAATATCTAAATAAATTATATTGAAAAAAACATGCTAATTATCTTGTTTCGGATCAGCCTAAAGATTTTATAATACTTTATAGAAATTATTTTATACAATTTTTAACGCATGCTAATGAAAAATGTATTATAAAACTATCGAAAACATGCAAAAAAGTAATAATTTTAAATATCATTTGATAATGCATTTAAAAAAAACGAATATTTATTAATGATACTCACCTCATTATTACAGGTTTTTATCATCAGAAGGGTCGGTTCATGTTGCTCAACTCGCACATAGAACGTCGTCAAGGAACATCCATGTTCTTCGGTCGTGTATAACAAGATGGGCTGGTACATCGTGATCCTCATCGGTAGCCATGACCATAGGGTAAACAACTGATAAGTAAACAAATTCAAATAATTAATTGGACGTAAAAGATGGTTTTATAACTGTGCAAACATTAGTTTCTAATGGTTCACTAATAATTTAAGAGGAGCAAACTAAATTACGATAGACATGCGCTTTACTGATAAAATTAAATTAAAATAATTATATCAATTATTTTATGGAAAAGTACAGTAATTGATATGTAAATATAGATTGAGCTCTTTATGTCTTTTTGAAAAATTCGTTGTTTGTTTGCATTTCTCCATAAAAATACTTTATAAGAACGAAAAAAATTAGCTAATCTTTTTTTTTTTTAAGTAAAGACATTTTTGTCTTGCATTCATTTTTACTGTGTTTTTCCATAACGAAGCAAAAAAATATCGAAAATTTTCTTATTAGCAATCCTTTGTTTTCTAGATAATAATAATATAATTATTAATTAATCATGAAAGATATAATTATGATATAAATATGTGTGCAATATAATTGAATAGATATTTTTGATCAAGATATCAACTATATGTTGCAAAAAACAGCTTAACATTTCTTTTATAAGAATTAATATTTGTCATTTCATTATTTTTTTATGCGTAAATTATTTATAATTAACAATGTACTAATAAATTAATATATACCAATTCGTAATTATTCTAACATCATGGAGAATTACTTTCTCATAATCATCTACATTTATATACACACACACATATATGTATATCTACATAAAAAAATATAGAACAAAAAATTACGACATTTCCTATTTGTAATATTGCTAACATTTTAAAATAAAGAAACATCAATTCTAACAAAATGTGTTTCTGTCTCGTTTGTGAGATCTCAACAAAACACGAAGGAACAACGCTGATATGCTGGCGAAAGTAAACATCCGTATCTTTTGCAAATCAGTGCATAATATCATTCGTCATGCAACAGTCAAAATAGCATCAATCGGTTAGAGATAAAAATACAAATGAATGTTATCGAGACGTCAACATGGATTTTTGCGCTAGCGATGATAAATGTATTCTTTTTAGATGTACGTTTTGCAGTTTTTTTTTCTAATTTTCCTCTTTCAATCTTTCTTCCTCCAATACAAGGAAACATTATAACGACATTTAAATTTAAATCATCTGTTTCATTTATTCTCAAATGAATCCATTTCCATTTCAAATGGTGCCTCAACTCGTAGGTTTCGAGATTCCTTAGCGCAACGAAAACCTTCTCCGATCATTCACCCTATCTCAAAATAACCATAAGGATTACATAATCTCTCTCTACAATCATATAACAAAATATTTCGATGTTACTTGGAAACATTCTCGTATATACAGGGTTTGACAGTAGAGTCTGGCGATTTTTTCGAGCTCGTTGTAAAGGAGTGGCAAGATTTAAAGAAATAAAAGAATAAAGTAATAAAATAAAATAATAAAAAAGAATAATATTTCAGTATTGTCGCTTCCTTTATGAGTTTAATTGATATTTAGTTCTAAAAATAATATCCGGTAGATTAGCATTTCTACATCTAACAATTCTTAGTCTTTCATAAAATTTTTTCAATACTGCACTATTTAATAAATTTCCATTTTAATTCTCACTTGTGTTATTTTTCAGGGTGGAAAAATATTTTGAGATTTCGTTTTACATAGCTTTAATTCACTGTAATAAATCCAAGAATTAAATCAAAGTGGATATAGTTATTGAATAGAGTAATAAAAAAAAATTTCTTATGAAAGACTCCTAGAAGTTGTTAGATGTAGAGAAGTGCTCATTTGCAAGATTATTAGAATCTAATATTATAAATAAATAGTAAAAAGATTATTCTTGTATTTTATTTATTACTTTAGATCTTGTCAGTATAACAAATTCAAAAAAAATCGTCAGATTCCACTACCGAGCTCGGTACATATTTTTTTCAGGCGATTACATGTACACCAACGACGACAATATAGACATGCCACAGAGTCAAGACCTACGATTACTTGACGGAGCTTTTGAATTTTAAGTCAATGAAAGTCGACGGCCGTGAGTACTTACATCAGGCATGTCTAGGATCTGAGAGCATATACTTTGTATGGGGTAAACGCCCATTGATAGGGCGCGTGGTCCAGGACTGTGTGCGCCCTACACACCCGGTACAATTTAATCCGTCATTCCAGTCAGAAGGCAGCACAACACAAGACAGCACAAACACGTCAGTTACATCGATGTACAGTGCCGAGCACTAATGGTACCATGCGAACTTTGCATGTACCCACTGCACAAATGTTCCATGGAGATATTGGATAATTTTTTTTGTAACGTAAAGTTACACAAAAGAATACGGGGTGTAAATGCTACGTTTACTCGATACGAATAGCCGCACAGAATTTCACAAATTAATATTGACCATCCTGAACATTTTAGAGTGGTGTAAAATCCCTAATTTTTCACTACAATCACATCGCATTATGACATCAGAAGAACAAATATCATGTAAATGTTTTTCTTGCATTATATATCGAAATAAATTCTTTGCATGCTACAATTCGATGTATTAGATGGAATTTATGGATTTACATTTATGAAATGTGCCGAAGAGACCCTCCTTTGATCCGCGGATTAACAGACAATTGTAAATCTTGATGAATTGTTACAATATTTCTTTTCTCGCATAGTTGATATAAATTTTTAGAGCATAAAATTCGAATGCAGGATCTTTCGAAAATGCTAAGAAATTTATGATCGTGAAACAGAGCATAATATTATCAAATTAACAACATTAACATCACAAAACCTGCAATGAGAGTCCATTCAACATCATATTTAATACTTCTCTCTCCACAAATTGTTTGTTTTTTCTCTGTTAATTTATTTCATTATCTAATGACGATATTAACAAATAATGAATATATTCCCATATACATATATAATATGTATTTATAAATGATTCGCGAATTTAATAATTATTAAATATATTATATATAAAACAGTTGTAAAAGATTAAATTTTTTTTATTAAATATTTTTAATAAATTCAAATATTAAAATATTTGTAAAAAATATTCAAATTTATATTTATAAAGATATTCAATATAAGTGTATTATTTTAAATTCCTTATTTTTTGTAATTCAATAAAAAAAAACCTGTTTTATATCAAGATCTGATTACAATATTATTATACACAATGATAATAAACAGCCAGTGGATTTTAAATGTGTAACTGTTTAATATGTACAAAATATTCTTACATCGTAACCACATATTGGCTTCAATATTGTCGAAATGTTACAAATCTTTTTAAGATGTTGGTCAGATAAAATAGAAGGCGATATTGATTTCCGATATGATAAAAGAGGTGCCCCCGATTATATTAGGATATACGAGGCAGAACGTCCGAATAATTTTTAGTCACATGGTAAGCTTGCGAAGACGATCTAAAGATATTTAAAAGATGTAATTTGAAAAAAAAATTATAATTTGTTCTACAAATTTTAGTATTTTGTGTCTTGGACTAAACTTTTGTGTCCTTAAGTTTTATGTTAAATCTCTAATTTGAGAGTAAAAAGTCACTTAAAGATTAACTGAAAAATATGATTTTGATATCTGTTTCTTTGTTTCTGTTGTGTATTAATAGAAGTACAAACTCTCGTAGCATAGATTTGAAAATACAGAGAAACATGTAGAATGCTGCTTTAATGTTTTCGAAGAACAAATATATGATGAATGTGAAGTTGTATCTACGGAATTTTCTTGCATGGAAAGCATCTTCCAAAAGTTAGTATAATACCTGAACCGATACCACAGTCATATATAAAAAAAACAGGGTTATAAATTTATAACAGATAACACTGAAAGGAATGAAACTAAACACTAATACTAAACGCTCGCCAAGCAAAGCTCGATTAAATCATATAACTGAGATGAGATTCTGTTTTCCACATACTTGTATTATACTTTCATGTTCCCAGTTTTCACTTCGTTCCCAATTTTTTCGATTAATATATTAAAAATACAATCAATCCGTGAGTTTATTACGAGATTATAAAGCCTAAATTACAAACTAAAGCTCCAAAGAAATTCGTTTTTTTTTTTTAAGACTTTTGATCACACTTGATGCAGCCATATTAAATTATAATATTAGAAATGAAAAAAATATAAATCTTTTTCTTGCATACATCGAAACATATTAATCTTTTTCACATACCTTTAGTTGTGTTTGATTGAATAAAATTGTAAAATGGACCAAAAAGTAGACAAGCTTTAATCTATTATTAGAAAATATTCTTGTTAAAATTGTACAACGAATATGAATATTTGATATTTTCTCTGGCTCATTTATTAATAAGGCATAATTAAGTTCCTCTGGTATACTTTAATAACTTATATTATTGAATACAAAATAAGATGCAAAAAATTGACTTATTTCGTATAACACAAGAAAGATTTATAAGTTTCTTTTTTCTAACTCGTAATCTAATACGGCTGCAAAAAGAGGCTACACCAGCCTTAAAAATCTCAGCAAAAGAAGGAAGAAGAAAGAATAACGCGTTGAACGAATAAAACACAGTTAAATCTGAGAAATTTCTAATTTAATCTTTTAATTATAAAAGTTGCTGGATTATTTATTTGTTTGAACACTGATCTTGTGAGCCGCTATAGATAATTCATGATTGCAACCCGCATTTGATACACGCGGAGCCACACTGAAAAAGCCAGCGAGAATTTCACATTATGCGTTGCAGTAGACATTGCTGACGAGAGTATTGGTTACTGGCCGCGTTGGGAAAATATATTAAAGGAGTCATTGCGGATGGATAAATAACAGCAACAAAGCTGGCAACGACAAATGTATGGCGATGAGTGAGTACGTGTAGAGTATGAGTGTAATATAAAATGATATCTCAGAATATAAAAGGGGGGAAGTAATGGTGGGCAGAGCACATGAAATTGACAACACATTTCCCAAAAATATAATTATACGATACCCTGTCTTTGTACGTGTCTTCACATTCTTTCTGAAAACAAATGGAATCATTGAGAGATTCAAAGGCTTACCGAACCCTATAAGAGACTACTTTAACACGCTGGGCTGTACAAAGCGGAGATTGAAACCAGTACACAGGATATTCAATAAATTGCAATACAACAAACTTGAGAAAGCAATTTTTTGTAAAAAGAACCGTTTAAAAGAATATATTTTTTTTGCGCAGTTTTCCAGAGAGATTGCTTTGAATATAAAATATAAAAGTGTATCTATTTGACTATACATATATTTACATGTCAAACATGGAAATTTCTTGTAACAATTAAAGTAATGAATTTTCAATGTCAGAAGCGTACCATTATATTCTTACCATTTCTTATCAAAAAATCAGTACTATTGACTTTATTAATTATCGGCACTATTTTTGGAAACTACGCAATCAAGATAAAAATTAAAATTTAATAAATAATATTTATCAAATATCTTTTAATCGTTTTTTTCACAAGAAATTGTTTTCTTATGGATTATATTACGATTTACTGAGCATTCTGAAATTTCATCGAGTTAAAATTTGGATATCGTAGGCATGCAATAACGATTCTTACGTTTATCCGTGAGTAAACGAAACGCGATAATCGGCAAAAGGCTTTTCTCGCATACCTGTAACATCGAAAATCGAACTCAACGAAATTATATCGGTTTCAATTCTCATTACAAAAAGAAATTATACAAAATATCCCCTAGGATAAGCAACCCCTTTCATTCCTTAAATTAATAAAATAGATGGGACGTAACAAGTAAAGTTTATACTTAATAATTTGAACTGTCTTTTGTTTTAGGAAATAAAAGAGGATAGTAACATATGCTGAAATAATAAAAAAATATTGCATACCATGTAAAACTATAAATACTTCATATTTGTACCTGTAAAAATTCTGTCAATTAAAATTACATCCTACATACAACACGATCCTACATACAAATTTCAGATGTACATACTCATAAAAGAGTTTTGCTTTAGGCGGAATCCAATATTTCTGTAGAAAATAGTTTGATATGTTCTATTTAAATTTGTTGTTAGTTTCAATATATTTATTCCATTAAAATTATCTTAATTATATCATTATTTTTTGATGATTAAATTTTTTTATATTAAGCGAAAATGTGGGTCTGTTTGCTAATTAGTGGGCTCGCATATAGATATGTAGATACACGATGTGCCTCACAGTTTCGCGATCCTTAAATTTCATGTATATATTCTACTAAGACATTGCCGTATCTGCTGATATATTATTGATAGATAAGTCAATAATCAGCAAATTTTTATCAATAAACTCAAATAAATGTGGAACTGAGTTAAGGAAGAAATAGATAAACAACATACTTCTCGTATTGTGAGTGTGTGTGACATCATCTGAATGTTGACTTGGGACTGGCTGGTGGGTAGATTGTCTGTCGAACGTGACCTGGCTAAGGATCGGGGCCCTGTCAGGACGCTCTTGCTCTTGAGAGCCATTTCCGTGCGCAGAAATACTCGTGATATATATGCTGAGCTGAGTCCGCGTATCCCAAAAGCGGTGCGCAGAAATTTAGCGGGTGTCACCTGAAAGTTGATAAATTATCATTTTTAGCAGCGTTCCTTAGAATTAAAACCTTGTAAGATTAGAAAATATCGAGCAAGAAATATATACAAAAATTTTAGCTTAAAATTTATTATAAGTATGAAAGATCTTAGATAAAATATTACATATTTAAATAATTTTTATCCTACTTCATATTTAAAATATTTCTTCTGCATGCAAATATAACATTTAATTTTAACTTGAAGAAATTGATAACGTTTAACCTTTCTTTTGCTATCTAATAATTATATATATTAATTTATTTGTGCTTTTCAAAGTTTATTTCTTGCCACATAATAAATTAGATTATTTAAATAAAATCCGTTTAATTTTTATAATTACTCTGCTAAACACAATTTATTTAAAAATTTGTTACTCACTGGCATTTGTCTGCAGAATTTCGATAGAGCAGCATCTATCCCATTCTTCGAAATCTCATTCATCCATTCAGAATTCTGCGGCGAAGAGTGCTTATAAAATAATAAAACTATAGCCATAGCAACCCGATAAAAGACCTGAAAGTAAAAAAGAAATTGATGATAACTTAATTACATCAATAATTGTTGAAGCAATATTCTATTACAAATCGTGTCCAAAAAGAACAATTTTATGCACGATATTGCCAATGCTCAAAAATGCTTGCAAAACAACTTTCCGCTGGCACTGAGTCAAACGTCAAATTTAACATTTGTCCTATTCCTAGAATATAAGTGCATTGCTCAGTACACATAACATGCGGTTGATCTTTATCTGTTGGTTGGGTAAACGCCAATTTTTCTCGCACTCTAATATGTGCGATAGATGGACGGTTTCACGTGCTGTTCCTCGAATGCAAGAACTAAGGTTCAGAATTTTCCGGTTGACGGACGGCTCAAACCAGTTTGAACTCGGAATTTACGATAATCGAGTTCTAACAGTTCAAACTGCTTTCTCGAAGCTTAAATCGTTCTTTATACAAGTATTTAGGATGTAAATTAAGAATATTTATATCCGAGCGATTCATACAATTGTCTATCATAGACCGAAATAAAAAGCACAAAAATGTACATTTGTTTCGTAATCAAAAATGTACTTTTTAATTCGTAATTTAATGTGTACTACAAGTGTGCCGACGAATTGTTCAAATTTCAGGCTCGAGCTATTAATCATTAAATAGATACCATGTATCGCGTGAGTTGAATACAATTTATGAAAGCTATTCATATAGCGTTAGCGATCAGATTAAAGCAATAACTCACCTTAATGCCTTCATGAAGAAAACAGTCCATAACCCTGACTAGATGTTGAAATGGAAGAAGTTGAAGAATCCACCAGATCCAGTCCATGTAGATTCTTTCTGCTCTTGAGCCGGAGCAATGTCTCGCTAAATGTACAGCAGCTGATTTCTTAAAATCGTAAATTTGAAAAATATGCATTACACATACATATGTCGTTAGACATCGATTACTGCTGGTAAATTTTTTAGTAAATAATTTAATCGTAAAATTAACACCTCTTTCATACCATTTTAGTAAATATATATCGATCTGGAGTATCAATTGGAAGAGAGATAGACACATAGATAAAGAAGTTTATTTTCTACCACGAGATAAGGTACTGAGAGGCAATGAAAAACACGAGATGTCTCGCGTAAAATATTATACGAGCCATTTTCTCCGAAAATAATGAAGATAGCAATAAAAATTTGTTTTTCGTTTTTAAGATTTATTGTAGAACCGTGATTATCTTTAAATAAAGATGTATCATTAGCGAATAATAAATTTATAAATAGATAATATCAGTTTTTATGATTTTTTTTATATTTATTTGTTTTATATTAAATAAATATTTGAAACAAAGTTTAGAAAAAAATAGAAACATAAGCAAACAACTCAGGAATAAATATGAATATCTGAAATCTAAAGTTTAGGAGTTTATTGTTACTTACAACGTGTTTCTTAGTGATTTGTTCTACCGTTTTCCACGTAACTTCATAAAGGAGTTTGGTTTGCGTGATGAACATTTTCTCTTTGGCAGCTACCAAAGTAGCCATACAGTGGTAACATTCCTCCTCTGAAAAATAACATTCCCAAAATAACATAAGTAGCGGTTCATAAGAAGTAAATAAAACCCTTATCATAAATTTGCTTATTTTATACCTCAACACACTGACGTATATAATAAATAAAAGATGTATAAAACCATCATCCACAAAAATTGTCACACAGAAATAATACTGTAATAATTAATAATAAACTATTTATATAAGTAACTAATATTTATAATTAATAATACCTCTATTCATTATTTCCGAATAAAATAAAAACATAGAATACCATTTTCTCGTTCACGATTTATTTTTTTCGAGAAAAATAAAGACTGAAAAATTAAGTTGAATGTAAAGACGCAATACTTCATTCAAGCGAAAAATAATTCTTGTCATCTTTCACGTGTCAAGCTATTATTAAGTTATTGTTCATTTACCTGGCACAAAATGCAAGAGAAGCGCAGTTAACGGATAAAGGGATGGGCTATATGTGATGTCAGGACAAGCGTATCCCAGTACAGATACAATTCTGTCCGCCACGTTTCTGCCTTTTCTTGTCAAATTGTAAGACAAGCAATGCGTACTATCGACGAACGGCGGTAGCATAATTGATTTTTCTGGTAATTCTGCAAAACAAAAAATTTCAAATTTTACATCGAATGCGTCGTCAGCACTCTTTTCAGCAATTACAAACGCAATTACTCGCGAGTTCAGTAGTCATTTTCATAAGCGTGTTTTTACTGAAAGAGCGTTATAAATGTGTAAAATTGTATAAATATACGTTTAATCTTATAATCGCGTCTTATATTTCGTCGATCCTTTTATAATCGGCACAAACATTCTGATAAAAGTAGCATAGCGAAAATATACAGGTCAAAGATTCGCGGGGTGTTAAATGTATTTGCTAACCTGTCGTTCCAAAAACCTGGTTCACCATGTCCCAATAGAATCCGTCGAGCATGTTCTTGCCGAGCGCGTGCTGGTCGCAGAGCGCCGGCCAGAGCTGCGACCTGATGCCGTTGTTAAGTGGCCAGGCGTTCTCCCGTATGATCAGCTTCGCCTCCCGCTTCCTGCCGGCCTGCAGCAACGTGTTCACCTCAGCGAAAGTCTTCAGCGTCTGCTTCTTGCTGGTAGGCGACTCCGGCTGGATGACAATGTTGCTGGTGTCGACATGAGGTGGGAACGCGTCGTCGATGTCGGTGACGTTCGTCGCCTCCTCCTCGACCACCGACAGCGTGTTCGGCGAATTGTCCATCGGGGAGGCAGTCACTAACATCGCTTAACAACTACGGCACGAGATTCATGGCGGCCGCTCAGGCGATTTTTCACACACCTGCCGTTGCCTACGTCATATCTTGGGACGTTTCAATTTTCATCTGAAAGACAAAGAAGGTTCAAACATATGTAAGTGGAGTTCGAAGACTCTTGGGTAGATAGATATATATAAATAGGATTTTGGACTATTACTAGTAAATTTATCTTACAATTAATAGGATAAAATAAAGGCAATTTAATAATATCCTGTTACAAAGATGTAAAAAGATTTATTTATATTACTTATATGGCAACATATAATCAAACTTTTACACTCTCCGCTTTATATTTATATATAATATTTTGTTTATATGGCAACGTATACAATTGAACTTTTACACTTTGTTTTATATTTTCTTATTTTCTATTATTTCTGTTCTTGCTATTTTCTTCCACTACTCCAAATTTGGATTTCATATTCATGTAGATAATAACATAGAATAAGAATGCTATTATTTGCATAATCAATTTAAAATAGGTCTGGCAAAAAAATATTCAATGTCATTACTACAAAGAGGCAATTTCTTTGCATTTGTAATAGGAGGAAAATTTAAAACATTACTAAATAAATTACCTCACTTCAGCCTGTATTGCAAAAGAAATAATAAACAATTAAATTTTCTTTTGATCTCTTCTTGCAACAGATTGCCTCAATTACAGCCTAACATTATTTATTTTGTCTGAAATTCGTTTGCGGACTGGTATACACCCCTTACGGCGCCTTTAATTATTTAAATCAACGACTAACTTCTTGAATAATGTAAATAATGTAGCATTTTGTTAACCTGAACAGAATTTATTTTTTGTTACTTAATGCACGAAAAAAAAAATTAGATTATTGGTAGTGAATTATTATACATAATTACAAATTTTGCTGTGAGCAAAATTCTGCCGATTGAATTGATCGTTGATTAATTAATCGAGTTTAGCCGAAGTCACCCTCAGGCTCGAAAGATACAATTTTATTTTAAAACTGATTCAACAAGCGGTTATACTACGGCTCAACCCTTTTCTCGCTCGCTCTACGACACGATTAAACACGTCCGAGCGACGCACGTGATTGCGGCATCGCTTGAATCTCGTAAACCCGCACGAGCTCCAAGATAATGTTTTAGCGCTTACTGTGCACATCTGTCGCTATCACGTTGCAACAACATCCTTCCCTCCTGGCGTCGTCATCGCTCGCTCATATTCGCTCACTCGCCCGGGTAACCCGTCGCGCGACCGAAATCAATTGTCTCGTTGTAAGGGTGCCAGCGTAAACAAGTGTGGCGAACACACGTATATGCGGCGCACCACGTGCTCTCTCTCCTTTTTTTTTTCTTTCCTTTCTCTCTGAACCGCGCGAATAATTCGGACCCTCGCGCGCCACAAGTGGTACACACGGGGTCGTGAGTGCCTCGGCACATGAATCTGCATGCATACCGAGGCATATTTAGAACGCATTATTTGTATTCAGGGTGTAGGGTATTCAAATTTTGTAAAAAAATTTCCTGAAAATTCCCGGATTTTCCAGGAATTTTATTCAAAATTCCAGGTAAGATTAGAGAATTTTTCAATACAGCTTTAAAATAAATTAGGCACTAGGAGTTTTAATAACTTATAGAACTTGATGCGTGAAACAATTTAATCTTCTTATATGTACAATAGTTACATCTCCATACGAAATTTTTCAAACGTAACGAAAGATTTTGTATGGAGATGTAACTACATCATGGAAATTAAATTGTTTCATGCACCAAATTTTGCGTTATTAGATTCTTAATGCCTGATTTATTATTTCCCGATTATCGTTTTTTAAATTAAAGAGTCTTTATATGGTATATGTCAATTTTAAAATAAATTAATTTTCAATATCAGGGGCCTTCGATATGGGGCCACGTTTACTTTCTAAAGGGATAAAATTAAATTTTAAAAATTCAAAAAATTTCCCTGAGTACCAATAAAATTCCATGAGAATCCATGATTTTCAAGGGCAAAAATGAAATTCTCTATTTCCAGGTTTTCCCGATTTTTCCTGGTAGTATCCACCCTATTATATATATTTTTATATGTAAAATATAATAACAGAATATTAATATTATTTTTATTATTATAGAAAATTAATTGTTATCAAATTATATATTGCCGAGTAACTACGATGCGCGAATATTTACTTAAAATATTTAGACGAAGGTAGGCGTGCCCCGAATACGTTAGGTATTTGCTCGATATTCGTGCAAATTCATGTGTTAAGGGATTTACAGCCCGGTGCGCCCATTACACGTACCAGTAATTATGAAAGTGATCTAAGTAAAAAAAATGTGAAAAAATCTATCACTGACTTCGTATTACGTCGATGCACATCATAATTACATAGAACTCTTCTTCAAAAATAGTTGAGGATTGAAACACTTAACGTGTTTTGTGCATATAGTTGTGTCATTAAGAATTCAGTTCACGTTTATTTTGACAACGATTTAAGTCACTTTCTGGCAAACTTGTATAAATTCAATTATTTCCATTATATACGAGTACCAGATCAACGACGAACGAAAAATATTAAGACTTGATGATTTGTTAACGCACATTCCGCCAATTTCTCATGAATATTTTAAAATTCTAAAAATATTAGAAACTGAAAATTCTATTAGCGAGAAAAAAACTATAGAAAATATTGACAAAAATTGAGTAAACAATTATAATCATAAAATGTAAAGGGATGTTTTTTAAAACTTATTAAATAAAATTTATTATTTTTTTGGTCATAAATCATTTTTAAGATTTATCGTTAATTTTAAAAATCATTTGAGATAATGGAAATCATATTTATTTACGAACTACTCGTTTTACAATCGAAAAGATTTACAATGTAGGAGTATGTATTTTGAAAAGTATTTTATTATAAAATGACAGAATATTTTTTAATACACACAAATACAAAAGTTGAAATATATCAAAATATAATAGAGTATACGACTCACGCCACTTTCATAATCATCGGCTCATTGTGACTGTTCGTTGAAAAATTGAGAACATTTATATCTTGATCGATTAATTTAATATCGCGTACGTCTAGTGTGACATTCAATTTTTTTTGTCTCATTTAACCTTCTTCGTACACATATCAAGCACACGCATATACAGCTGTCAAACCGTCAGAGAGTTGTTCTGAGTCATGATGCGGGAATATTAATAGCGATTTTGCGGTGCTACCTGCACTGCTCTGCGCTACACATTAAATAAAGTTGTAAAAGTAAAATATAAACATCCTAATCGACGAGAAATCACAAAGGGCCATTTCAACCAAATTTAATCAGCAATTAATTCAAAGGGGTAAGATCGTTCGAAGCCTCGTTCAAAGCAAAATGTTTAACTATAATAGCTCAGTCTAATCTAATTTTCTTTCCCAAATATTAACAAAAAATTAATAATTCTTTCAATAAATCCGTATTAGTAAAATAATGCATATACTAGTTAATCACTGATTACATTATCAAGTTCTAATGTTCATACTGTTTTATTAACTCAAATAGAATTGATTCAGTTAATCGGAATTTAATCAAAGCCTCATAAGATGTGGTTGATTGAAAGAAAATTATATCATCGTGTCTAACAATAAATTGAATCGTGTTATTTAATTTCAAATATTTTTTCGATAGTCACTGCGAAAATAAAACTGTGAATTCATAATTATTTCGTGCTAATAAAAAAACACGTTGTCTTGATCGTTAAAAAAAAAAAAAAAAAAAAAACAACTTCAGGCAATGACCTGTCATTAGACACGCGAGCGGCTTGGCGGAGACAATGAATACATAATATGACATATAATTAACGCGTGAGGAAGCTGTCGCTAATAATAAAGCAGCTCAGCCAGATGCGAAAGCGAGCTGCTGTAATCTCGATGTATTTAACGGTTATTAATAAAAAGCGCGTGTTATCTCTCGACCAGTAACACGCGTTCAGCGCTTATCAACACGCCATGTGCTACTCGTGAGACACAAACACACACATACACACATGCAAATAAAACACACACACATAGTGATACACAGTGATGACTACAAAGAGACTTTACGGATAAAGTTTTAAAGTTTTTTCTTAATTATTTTAAAACAATATTCTATAATGTGACACAAGAACAAAATTTGGTAATATATGTTTAGAAATATATTTCCAGTGTTAGCCTTTGCTCGTAGATGCGCAGAAATGAAATATTTTGCTTATCTACGTGACACACATGCGGATCAAAGCGCTTTTTAGTGCAACTGCATTCGAGTTCTTATCGGCCCTTCTCTTATTACCGCGATATTACATCAAGAGGATATTTCTTCTATCCTGTGCTGCTTTTATTCTATGTCTCTCTCGTTCTATTTAAAAATCTTACAGGTGTTGAAACATAGTAAAGATGTCGAAGACAGTAATTCATGTTAAATCCCCTCTAAAACCAACGCCGATGTTAAATAACCTGTGGTCGAAAGAGAGTAGCGATTTTAGGACATCCCGTATATATAGAATGCGCGGGCTTGTGTGCAGTTGCTGCCGTAGATAAATATTATTGCAAGTCCCGAGCGCTCCGAACCACTTGATAGTATAAATACATCGCATCAAAGGCGGAGGCAAAAGGCAAACGCGCACGCATTGCATTGTCGAATACGCAAAGTGAAACGGGGTGCCAATTTGCTGCGCGTTTCCCTCACGGTGCTTACCGATATCTTCGTCCAAATTTTGCGAAGAAAAACACGTAGGGCCCTAAAACGTCACGTTTCTCGGAAAAAAAAAACGATAAAACTGATGATTTGCGTCCGGTCATTTCGTATTTCCAATCGCTCCTCCCGAGCTCGATCGTGTATACATTTGTCATTCAGCGCGTGCATGGAGAATGCAAAGCAGCGGAAGAGATCGACGCGAGAGGGAAAGTGATTAAAGATAAAATGGACAATACACGTGGAGACTGTAGAAACAATGCTGCGCGTAAAAAATATTGCATGAAAATCTCACGGAAGAAATTGATAAATATCAGATAAAAGGAAATATTAATTTTTTGTTACTCAAACAAAAAAAGACTACACTGAGAGGCAGCAAATTGTAGATTAGAAATTTTCTTTTCTTTTTGTTCTTTCTTTTTATCTTATATAGTTCATTTGTTGCAATTGTATTATAAATAAGCGTGCATCATCCAAGTAAATTTGTATTTTAAAAAATTTACAAATTACGATTATTTCGCGAAGTTCTTCTCAATTAATATTCCAAGTGTAAAATGAAATAGTAAAAATATTCTAAACATACAGTTAATTAATTTGAAGGACTTAGGTTCGTAAGAATAAACCAATTATATACTGAAGTAATGCCTATCGAGCCAACACGGATGTTGATGTGTATTAATTTTTTTACAATATCCAGCCACACGCAAACTGCAATTTAATTGTTACAAGTGGATTCCTCGTGTAACGAACTGTGTTTTAAGACCAATGAATATGCGGCGCGCAGTTTGCGTGTGGCTGGATATTGTAAAAAAATTAATACACATCAACATCCGTGTCGACTCCATATAGGCATTACTTCAGTATATACAGTTAATTATTTATAGAGCATACACATTTTAACAATGATTTTAATTTTCGAACATTTTATACTGATATTTTAGAACTTCAAACTAGATACACTTTGAATTACACGGAAATCGCTTTTAATTACCGAGATCTTTGTAAATCATTTCAAAATATTCGAGTAAAATTCTCCACGCTGCCCTTTATTCCCTATAGCTATAGAAGAAACAAAGCTCAAAAGTTCAGCCTGACCTAATTATCTTGTGCGTCTTTAATTTTTTATACTTTGCATGGGGAATACAGAAAGAAAAGTGAGTTATAGACGTCATGACGTAAAAATTACGTCACTTCGAAGTGACACGTTTTGCGAAAGCAGAAACGACCTGTACGCTTAATTTAAAATACAGCTGACTCAGAACTTCCATTCTGCACAATGCGGTCCCAAGATCAAGGTCACTGGCGAGGTTTAACGTTGTCTATAAATAGATGTAAAAAAATCCTCGGATAAAAGGCGTGCCTCTAGGCGGTGATGTCTCTCGCGGTATCTCGTGCGACTATATACGCTATACATCATGGAAGAGCAGCGCGTCGGGTGAAGTGAGCAATAAACAACGAGCAGTAGCGTGCAACGCAGCGGCGGCGGTCGCGCGCGATTACGCAATGCCGTGTAATTTCAGTGCGCGAAATCCAAACGGTCGGGATTCGGCCGCTGAGAAATTTCGCAAGTGCCAAACGGCGCGCGCTCGCGCGAGCTCGCGCGGCGCGTCTCGGCGCTTGACCTTGGTTCCGACAATTCCGCGAGGATCATCATTCTACTTCTCGTGGGATTTGTGCACGCTGAATAATTCATCAACGAGCATCACGGCAACGCTATAGCCCCCGGCTCGACTAACGAAGTGCCGTACGCAATTCGCACTTAACTCCCCTCCAGAGGATTAATAATATTTATGATGGTGTTCTCGTTGAACCGGAGGTCGGGTTAAAGACCAGAAATTTAACATATCGTAGGATAACGACGTTGAAATGTACAAAAATCTTGTAAGGATGATTTTGACCAAACCCCCATTAATTTAATCGGCGATTAATTCAATCGGCAGAATTGCTCACGGTAAAATTTCTAATATACTGCAGGATATAATTTGTTGCCTCCAATTTAATTTTTTTGTGTGTCAAGTGACAAAAAATTCTATCTAACAAAATAGTATTCGACAAATTAATCGCTAAGTTAATCGAAGTTTTCGGTCGAAATCGGCCAAAATATATAGGCAAGATGTCAGAATTTATAGGTACAAATAAGGCCATAAATGCATTAACGCGTAAAATTGCACACACATTGCGTACTTCCTGCCTAAAATGTTCGCGCATCACAATTGCTGGCTATTTAAATCAACGATTTAAACTTTATCTTAAAGCAGCTGAAGGCTCATATTTCGTAATTTGATAATGTCAATGTTTGACAAATAAACAGGAATAATATAAGAAACAACTGAAAAAAAGGAGATGTTTCTCGAACAATCAACCGTCATATGTTGCGCGACATTTAAACGGGAAGCACGTGCTCCGAATATATCCGATATGCGTGCAAGTTCGAGGCATTTGTAGCTCCGCTGTGTGTGTGTGTGTGTGTGTGTGTGTGTGTGTGTGTGTGTGTGTGTAGGTGTCCTTCGAAGTTACTCGTATCGTTAAAGAATTAAAAAAGAAATGCGGGTGATTTAAACTGCGCATACAGTCTGGTGTGTAGAACAGACCCCTTCTTCTCGGTTACACTGTCAATAATCCACCTTGTATACGCACGTACGGCTACGTACGTTAACCGTGTCCGGTGCGCTTGTACTCAGTGAACATTTTTTTTCCCCGCAGTGCCTAAGGAAACGTATACCTTTTACGTTTACATAGTTAATTTGCATGGTTCAATAGCTTCACGCTTTGCAAAAGAACGGAAAGACCCGGCGACACCGGCCGCGTGCCGCGATGTGGTGTCCTTGCGAACGGCGCGATCGCGCTAGATAACCATTAACACACGTGGTTGTACACGAGACCGACCGGAGAGAGATCGGCCGGTTAATTCACCGCAAGAGTAACGCAGCTTCACGCAACCCGAGCACCAATGACGGAATGAAATTCCCCGCATTTCTTTGGCGCGGGCTGTTAAGGGAACAAACGGCAAAACGTTCAATGGCATTTTTTACCTCGCGATAAGATGCAAGGTCGATCGAAGTGCCCGAACAAGCGAGATCCTGAGTTACCGATTGTAACGGATTGGTTGAATCCGTATTTGGCTTAATGACTGGTGATTAAGACAGCAAAATAAATTGACAACGTTTAAACGCGAGACAATTTCATTTTCTTGCTTTTCTAACGGTGTGTTAAGAATCACATTATCCATTACTGGAAGCAATAGATATCATTTGTGTTTGATTTTAAAGCATAGGAAATACTCAGCATATCGATATAGCCTTATGAATAACTCTTTGTTCGAATAAAGTCATTATATTTTCTTCGATTGTTATTATATTCTTAAATCATAACTTATCTGTTAGTATTTAACTTTATTTAAATTAGTGGCTGAGAAATTCTTTTTGCTATGAAATTCTGTATTCGCGAAATTCTGTGTTGCCCATATACGAATCTCCTTCTCATCAAAAGAAAAATTTTTTATTTAACAGATCACGCGAGTCCATTAATGCAATATGCACTTTTATTCGCCTTTAAACTCTTACCGCGTTTGATGAGCGGAACACGTAGCGAAAGAAAAAAAAATTCATCTGTGGAAACTGTACGATGCGTGACTTCTTTTACATCCGGTATATGAAAGTGCTAAATGGCCATTACCAAACGTCAAGAGCGTGAAACGGCTCGTTAACGTTAGCAACAGCCCTATAGTATTCCTCTCTGTCTCGTTGTACCTATAAACGAAAGTCCCTGAAACGAAAACTGCCTACTTCCGAGCAATAAAGACCGAGCAATGCCGTAATCATCGTGATTTAACATTAGCTCGATATATATGTACCGGCGCGGGGAGCCATCATATAAATGAAATAATGTTTGCATATCGAGTCTCCCGATTTTTGAAAGAACATTAGAAATCCTCATTACGTGATTTCAAGGCGGTAAATGTAGTTTCCGCCGCGTGTCCCTATATGCACGTTACGCGTTGGCACTCTTACGAGGTTGAAACGAGGTCTGTGTTCTTCGTAGCTACGCTCTGTTATATTTTCCACTCTTACAAAAAATAGATATACATATAATCAAATAGGAGGGAAAATGAGAAAGAAATGAAAAATTGATGAAGAACAAATCGACGAATGTTTTTACGAAACAAAGTTTTCCTATTGAATATCTCACATGAGTTTATCGCGAGAGTTCTTGTCGAAAAAAAATAATTGTCTCAATTTTGAAACGGAGTGTGCAAAAATCACGGTGGTGTTTATTGACAACAGTCTGTGTTGACGTCAATGTTTTGAATTTAAACAGAATTACAGTATCCTAATTTCGTCAAGTTCAATTCTAAATATTTCAGATGTTACGATGGAACTCTCCTATCCTAACTCCCCCTTTATTCTGGAACAGCTGTTCCCCTGTCAAGTGGAAGTCTTCTCTTGCATCGCTCTCCCACTACGCCGTTTGCCACGTGACCGCATGGCCATGCGTGAAGTGAGAAAGCGAGCGACAGACGGAGAGCGAGCTATGACATTTTCGTTGATCGTTCAACGCATGTTTTTCGTCGGGATAAGACTTTGGAGATTAAGCGGCGATTCTAGAATCTCCTAAAGCGAGGAATAGCTCGGTCTGAATGATGCTAGAACATTCTACTGGAAAAACACACGAAATCTTTATATAATCATATAGTAGCATTCGGTTTCAATTAATTTAAGTTTTGTTTATATATATATATATCGTTCATTTGTTACAATAACGACATAAAAAGTTGTCATTTATTTTAGTTGACTGCAAAAAAAGAACGAACGAATAGAAAAACTTACTGCTTCTCTATAATCAGTTAGTACATAAAAATTACATTTAAAAATTAATTTTGCAAAATTTTAATGATTCAAAACATTTAAATTTTTCTGGAAAACTGTTTTTTTGTTTGTGTCATTATTGTAGCAAATGAGCGATATGTAGACTGTGTTCCATAATTTTTCAGAAAATAAAAGAAAGTTAACTAAAACAAGCGAATTCAAATATTTGGGCACTTTTGCTCAAAACGAAACGGTGGTATAATCCCTTTTTTGTAAAGAGAAAAATCGCGAGAGCAAAAAGTGGAGCAGAAGATAAGAGACGACTTATGTCCATTTCTACGAATGCAGATTAGCTTTAATCTCAATTTAACTAACTCTTAATTTTTTCTAATTCTTAAAGAAAGGTAAAGAGCGAATTAAACCGAGATTAAAAATTATAAAAATGGAAAAATGGAGTCCCTTATATAATCCCTTACATCCATAGATGATGCAATTGAAACGCGCACGTTTCTGACAAGATATAAAAATAAAATAAGTACGGTCGGAATCGAAAATTAGCTCAGATATTTTTCTTTCTCCGACTATTGTGTTTGATCTCTGCTCTATATATCCCCCAAGATATTTTATTAAACGTCAAACATGCTCCGGTATGTGAAAAAGTATCTGGGTCATTTTAACGTCATATACACACACATGCTCAATTTTAAAAAGGTCACCAATGTAAGAAAGAATGTAATTGAAGAGATAAAATATATATCATCTGTGTCACTTTAATATAATATTTTTCGACTCCAGTGGAAGCTCGGATCGCTTTGCGTGATGAAGTTAACTAATTTTTATGAACCTGCGCTCAACTGGTAGTTGGTACATACACTTGGCAGGATTATTACGTCATTAATCGCTGTGGGAGCGATCCAAAAACTTGCTTCGATCGAAAAGCGCCGTGTATGAAAACTGGCAACTGATAGGGAAGACGAATCGATCCAGGGGCGATCGACCCCTGGGCGGGACAGTCAACACTGATTTTTCGTTTATCTCTATACTGGAGCCAGCCACCGATTACGATGCAAAATCCATCGTATATCTTTATTTTTACCAGCGAGTGCGCGTATCTCCGAAGCCCCTGAATACACGTAGATATTCCACTTGAAACGGGCGAGAGGTAAAATAGAGAATCGCGGCCCCGGAGAAACGAGCGGAGCCGCGGCAGTCCGAGCGGATACACGCAATTCGGTACAGTGCATGTTTGTTACACGACGCTGGCGTATAATCGGGCCGAGGATAACTTACCGCCAGTCTAGGTACATATACTTGCGCTCGCATTCACATCACATCGGCGATGCCGGCCTACCTCGAGAAGCACGACGAGACGCCAGCAGGGAGGTCCGATCCTCGTGTCGAAGCGTGGCATGCAAGCTAAGGGACGAGCCGCCCGGCGCGGCACGGACGCGGTGGTGCGTCCGCCCGTGCGATGCCACTGTCAACGTAGTCGTCCGAACGTAGGTCTCGGCCGAACCCCCGAACGCACGTTTCTCACTTCTTCGCGCGATAGCCTGGCGCCGCAGGTCGCCTCCTAGCGCGTACGCGACAGCTCACTTGCCGCCTGTCAGGCGATTCGATGAAGAATCCGATCGTCGGGCACCACACCGACTGCCGACTGTCGACTACACTCGGGATCGCGGGATGTTACTTTGTACGCTACACGTCTGCCTCCTGCCCAAATCGCTCGCTCACTCGCTCGCGTCCGCGCGCGCGCGCGCGCGCACTCGCGCGTGTTTACTTTGCGCGTAATCCTACGACGTGCCGCGCGCTTAACGCGTGCCCCGCGTTCCCTCTCCGGGTCGCACGACAGAGAATCGTTTCGCGCGTACGTACCGCTGTCGCGGAAACCAGCGACCGACGACGACGCAGCCAGCTCGGTCTGTCTTTCTCTCTATTTCTCTCTCTCTCTCTATCGCACAATTGCAACGCGTACGTCCGCGCATCACGCGCGTACAAGGGCCACTGCCGCGCCGACGGCGGCGACCGCGCTGCCGACCGCGCCTCGCGGCCCGTGGCTGTACTAACGCGCGTCCACGGAGTGGATCGATAGATGAACGGCGAACTGCGTGTGTCAAATCCGTGGACACATGGATACTCGAAGCGACGTTCATGCAGCTCGAATTCTTTATTATGATTGGTTTTTACGTTTGCTTCGGCGAAGAAACTAAAGGCGAAGACCAATCACTGAGTCACTGCTAAATATATGTCCCAATTATATCAGATTGCATTATAATTTGACCAGAGATTTTAACTAAAGAGATTAATGTAGAAATTAATAACTAAAATATTAATTTTTTAATTCTTTTTATTCTTATGAGTAATTATTAGTTTAGCCATTCTCAACTTCAATATTGATGAAAATATAAAAAAATATGTATCGTAGATTGTTTTCTGCAAATTTTGAGTTATAAAAAAACGACCTTTGGATGTGTCAAAATAAATTATATTAAGAGGTTGAGTGTAAAGATTTTTTAAGAAAGTAGATTTATTGCGTTGCGATCATGAAAATATATCGAACGAAAGTTTCCTAATTTATTATAAAATTTTGATATGAAATTATATAAGTATAATTCTTTGCGATCTTATCTAAAAGGTTAGATCATTAAATAAAATAAAAAAAAACACATTAAGAGCCATGAAGATAGAAAAACGTAAGAACCGTGAGCGAATCGACCAATCACAGTAAAGAACGTACGTCGATAACGAGTGTCACTTTAGGCATGATGTATCATATTTTATTCTCGTTACTCACTAAAAGTTAAACAAGGATAAAATAATGTCATACGTATCATAAAACGGAATATAAAGGCCCATCCAGACAAACTATTATATAAATTGCATAACCATGTGCATGAAGAAAATTATCCAATCGCATTTTACGTACATACATGTCCATGTGATAGAAATGTGATTATTGGATAATTTTTGCTCACGCGTTTATGCAGCTGTGAGAAATTTCTGGACAGGCTCAACCGCTCAAGCAGCATGTTTGTCACGCGTACGCTAAAGTTCCGCGTGTCGCTCGTGTCTGCAGGATCTCGCCTGCTCCTCAGGTATATCTACGTTTTTCCGCGAACGCGAGCACGCCACTTGTCAATTGCAGCTTGTCATCGCGTGCGCGCGCTTTCGCCACTCTCGGACTGCCGATCTACGCGCACCTTTTTTACAGGAGCATCGCGCTCCTGTCATCTGCCGCGTCATCGCGCATTGATCGCGTTAAATCGACGTGGCTTTTAACATAAGCTGTGGCGACTTCGCAGCTGGACGATTTCGCAACGATATCGAGAGAGAGAGAGAGATTGCTCTGCCCACGAGTTCTTCTTCGTTCGAATTCCGTTGGCGCGTCGCTGGATCTAACCTCAACGGCCACCACCGAGTGACTTGTCCTTTGTCGGTGGCGCTTTTTTTTCTTTTTGTTAACGAGGTAATATGAGATCTTCGTGCGAGATAATTCGCTGTTAGCTTTTTTTCTTATTATGGAGGTTATACTGCGCGTGTGAGAAGGAGCGCGTTGCTCGTGTCAATCCGCTCCGCGGAGATCACCACCGAGTATCGGTAATACGTGTGGGTGTGAGATTTGGATGACAGTGAGAGAGAGAGAGAAAGAAAAAACCAGAGAAACACAGTAAAACTCGCGATCGTGTCCCACGCGAAGTCTTGTCGATGTTTCACGATGACGTTTTATTAAAATGACAAGAACTCCCTCGCGGAAAGTTGCAACTGCAAGTAAGAATACTGTCGCTAAGCTAGTTCACTATTGATTACACGACCTACGCTATCTGAGCCTGAGAGTAGTAACTGGGATTATACCCTTTTTTTTATAGCACTTACGGAATTCGCAAAGTTTTTGCTTTTCTGATAAGTGTCAGATTCCATTGTGAGAAAAATTAAAGAAATTCTGTTTTATTATTTCAAAAATTCAAAAGTTACGAGGAAGAAAAAGGAATTAATTGAGCAAAACTGTTTTCAATTCAACACAGTTCTGGAGCTAGATATTCATCACTGACATTTATGTTTTCATACTCTTTAATATTTATTTTTATTTATTTTTAAATGTAACGTGCAGAATATGCTCCAAAATTACCAGATGTTCTTTCTGTTATGCATTTATTTGTATGAATTTTTTTTCTTCGAAAAAGAATCAAAATCCATTATAATTTTTCAATAATTAATAATTGAAGGTAGTAGTTATTTAACAAATTAAGTTTTAGGAAAAGTTAATATAATTTCATAAATTTTGTATATCTAATGTGTAATATATTATTGATAGACAACGTTTTTAAATGTATGTCTTATAGATATACATTTTTAATATATAACGTTTTTATATTTTTAATTTAAATTTACTGTGTGTGTATGTGTGTACGCGCGCGCGTGTGTGTACATCAGCGATATCGTAAAAAGTATTACAATCTTTAATTATTTTCTAATAATATTTTATTACAGTTGACTCTAATTGGCTTTTATCGTAAAAAAACTAAGTCAAATTTTCCTTTGTTTCACTTCTGTGCTGCTTTCCTACTCTATATTTGTCATGTAAACATGTGACTATATTGGAATGAGGAAATGAGTAAAAGATAAAGCTTGTTACATATTTAATTTGCACTTGCGCTAAGAACATGAATAGAAATTGAAGGAAAACTTGACTTGAACAAAGAGAATATTTTTATTTTGATAATTTAACGAACTGAAAAGTATGTAACTTTATAATCCACATAATAGTTTGTATTTGTACAATATTGTGTTGTATGTTTTTATACATGTTTAATGTTTTCTTAATATTTTAATATTTTATTCAATATTTTATTTAATATTAATACTTTATTAAATATTTGTTAACTACCAAACTTTTTGAAAAAAGATTATTATACAATTCTTTTAAGGAGTTACAATTTTATTGTAATTTGAATATTTTTCAGTATTATTAATGCATAGATGTAATAGATTGACAAATTTGACATCCTTAAAGTTTTTATTTGTATTTCTTCCATGTTTAGAAGTCGAATTTCTGAAACCAAAACTTCGGTGACCAATATGTCGACCAATATGTCGACTGGCCGTGTGAAAAAGCGATATGATGATATAATCAAATCACAAAATGACGACCGATTTTATAGGGGTTTAAAACTCGCTAATAAAATGAAAATTCTTTTGATAAGCGATCCAAAAACTGACAAAAGTGCTGTTGCAATGGACGTTCATGTCGGTAAGAAAATTATTTTACTATTTTATTTGAGGGATTCATCAAATTTTCTTATAAAATAATCCTGCATGTATATTTTAAATTACAACAAAAAAATTGTAAAAAAGGATAAATTATTTTTTTGTCAGTTTAATACGTTTAATTAATATTTTTTAATATTTTAATTTTTAGGTCTTTTATAACTTCTGCTTAACAACTTTGTATTTTGCTTTTTATGAATTCAATGTTTTGATGTCGTTTATGTTCTCTGTTGAGTCGCTCTATTGTTGTCGCTGTATTGTTAATATTGGTTAGATTTTTTTCTGGATAGATTTGATAATATTTTATAATATAAAGCGACTAATCATGGATTATTTTGTAATGACAAAACTGACAATTATTGGTAAAAACTAATATGTTCCTATTGATAATTGTCAAACTATCAATTTCAAGATTTTATTTAATTAGAGATAAAATATGTTACAGGCTATATGTGCGATCCAGATGATGTACCTGGATTAGCGCACTTCTGCGAGCATATGTTGTTCTTGGGAACTGAGAAATATTCTCAGCAGAATGATTACACCAAATACCTGTCGCAGAATGGTGGGGAGAGTAATGCGTCAACAAACTTAGATCACACCGTCTATTACTTCGACATAGCTCCAGATAAGTTAGAGGGCGCATTAGATCGCTTCGCTCAATTTTTCATAGCGCCTCTGTTCACGGAGACCTTGACCGAGCTGGAGCTGAATGCCATAAATTCCGAACACGAGAAAAATTTAGCGAATGACATCTGGCGAGTTCATCAATTGGATAAGGCATCTGCGAGCCCAGATCATCCGTATTCGAAATTCGGCACGGGCAATAGAGAAACCTTAGAAATAATAGCGAAACAAAAAGGCATTAATCTTCGAAGCAGACTATTAGAGTTTCATGAAAAGTATTATTCTGCAAATATTATGACCTTGTGCATTCTTGGCAAAGGTATGACGATAATTTATACAGCTCTATTTATGATTAGAACATTTGGAAACGTTTGTTATATATTATATATTAACGAATAAATTTTTTCTGTTTAGACAGTTTAGATGAGCTCGAAAATATGGTAGTAGATCTCTTTTCTGAAGTACAAAATAAGGAAATTGAAATTCCAGTATGGCCTGAACATCCATTTAAAGACGAACATTTTCGCACTACGTGGTACATTGTTCCAATTAAGGATACAAGAAACTTAGACATTTTATTTCCTTTACCTGACATGCAGCAACATTATCGGTCTTCGGTAATATATTTTTCTTTTGGCTTTATATGAATATTATGTCTTAATTCTTTTTAAATTAAATTATATATATATATTAGATAAAATATTAAATGTATTATATATATAAATATATAATATATGTGTGTTAGTTAAACATAGCGTGCCATTTCAATAATGAATTCACTCATTTTTATATTCATAAAAATATAACTTTCATTATTTGCGATTTCCCGATTTGTATATTTAACTAATATTTGATATTAGTTTTTTATATTG